TAGAGATAGGCAGCAGCTCTGCCCTAGGCCAGGTGCAGCAGCTCGTGCTGCAGTCGGAGAGCAGCAAACCGTATAACCAGCAGCTATTCGATAAGATTGCAGCGTAAGCTGCGGTTGCTGCTGCTCTTGCTGCTGCTGCTCTTGCTGCTGCTGCTCCTGCTGCTGCTGCAGTTGCTGCTGCTGCTCTTGTTGCTGCTGCTGTTGCTGCTGCTGCACTTGCTGCTGTTGCTGCTGCTCTTGCTGCTGCTGCTCTTGCTGCTGCTGCTGTTGCTGCTGCTGCTGTTGCTGCTGCTGCTCTTGTTGCTGCTGCTGTTGCTGCTGCACTTGCTGCTGCTCTTGCTGCTGCTGCTCTTGCTGCTGCTGCTCTTGCTGCTGCTGCTCTTGCTGCTGCTGCTGCGATGACTTTTGCTTCTGCTGCTGCAGTTTATATTCGACGGATGGTTTAGGGTTTAGGGTTTAGGGTTTGTGTTTGTTGTGTGTGTGTGTGTCAGTTGTTTTGTTCCTGGTGTGTTGCTGCTTGCTGCTGCAACATTTCTAGTTTGGGTGTATCTGCTGTTTGGTGGGATCGTCTCCCCGATCCCGCTGCTGCACCTCCCTGCTGCTGTTGTTGATAGACACCCCACAGCATCGAGGCTGCTGCTGTCTCTGCAGTTTGCTGTCTCCGTTCTCTCTATTGCCTGTCCCTGTGCACTCAGTGAGACAAACAAATATAGTATTGTTCTTGTGGTGCTGCTGCTGGTAATGCTGCTGATGCTGCTGCTGCTGCTGCTGCTGTTTCTGGTGGTGTTGCTGCTGCTGCTCCTGCTGCTGCTGCTACTGATAATAATAATAATTCTGCTGCTGGCGATGCTCGTTATGGTGGTCCTGATGTGCTGCTCATGATGGTGCTGCTGTTGCTGCTGCTGCAGCTTGAGCTGCTGCTGCTGCTGCTGCTGCTGCTGCTGCTGCTGCAGTGTTTGGGTGTCTTGTTGTACATCTGGTGTGGAGGGCGTCTGTCTCCTCTTGTCTCCTTTTTGTTTTCTTTTTGTTTATATGTGTCTCCTTTTTATCTCCTGTCTCCTTTCTGTCTCCTTTTTCTGTCTCCTTTCTGTCCCCTTTCTACATCCTTTCTGTCTCCTTTCTACCTCCTTCTTATCTCCTTTCTGTCTCCTTTCTATCTCCCTTCTGTCTCCTTTCTGTCTCCTTTCTATCTCTTTTTTGTCTCCTTTCGATCTCCTTTATGTCTCCTTTTTTTCTCTTTTTTGTCTTCTTTCTGTCTCCTTCCTATCTCCTTTCTTTCTATCTCCTTTCTGTCTCCTTTCTGTCTCCTTTCTGTCTCCTTTCTTCCTATCTCCTTTCTTC